ACTCTTTCCTTTAGTCATCAATGGCTATACTTTTTCTTTTTTTTGCTTTAATTGAAGTGTAGTTGATTTACAATGCTGTGCCAATGTCTTCTGTACACCAAAGTGACTCAGTTATCCACATATATACATTCTTTATTTATATACTTTCTACTTGCATGAAAAAGTAGAGATCATAAGCCATCAATTCTCTAAACATTTCAGCCATCCATCTCCAAATTTATATCTCCCCCTTTCACTTCTTTTTTTCATTGTTCTAAAGAATGCAGTACTTGTCTGTACTACTTTTTCAAGGTTAGTCCCTTTACTTAGGCTCATGATCATATGTTCATCAGCAGCTACAACTCCATACTTAACCTCTGCGTCCCTCAGCTTAAGTGTTCTGAATTCAAACAAATTTCCCTTGAACCTAATTCTCCCTCAAGCAGCTTTAGTTTTTCTTTTCCTCTTTAACTTACTAACCTTTTAAAGAGATGGCTGCACTTGCTGCCATCTCCACTTTCAATTCACTCCTTCACTAATTCTTCTATTACCCCACTAAGATGCTTCTCCCACTGTTCATCCCAAATCGAGTCATTACAGAAGGGAATTGGTTCTTCTAATTTCCCCTCACCCTCTGCACTGTTGTTTCTGCTCTCTGTCCTTGTCCTTTAATTGTTGTCTTGTTTCTCCTAGAGTTCTGGCCTCAACGTGTAAAAGCCAAATTCATTATGTCATTATGTTGTTCACTCTATCCTGTGTTCCCATGTCAACATCACCATTCATTTACTTGTTCGGGGTCAAAACGTCAACATTCTCTCTGACTCTCCTTGCCCACTGGCTGTCTCCCAACATGCACACGCGTGTGCACGTGCACACACACACACACACACACACACACACACACACACACCATTCTGTAAGCCTATTGCTTCTTGCATCTGGACTAACCTCATCCTACCCCCACTCCCTTGACCTGGGCCTCCGTCATATACAGCCTGCTTTGCTTCTATGAATTTCAGCATGATCTATTTCCCTGTAATCAGTTCATTCTATACAATCATTCAACAATAGAGTAATCAGAAGCAATAAAAACAAGAATGCAATCACGTGACCCCAGCTAAAACCTTGTGGCTCTGAGGTCCCATACACTGTATTCCAACCTTCTTTTTCTCCTGCCACATTTCCCTACTCACACCAACCAGTCATTCCTTAACTGAGCCACGACTTCCCTCGCCCCACATTATCTAAATCTTGCCCCCTTCACCTGACTATCCCCGGCTGGCAAACTCTCCTTCTCTTCCCCTTTTCTCTCATAAATGCCTCAAGGATGGTGCTCCCCAGATTTTGTTCCAAAGGTCTAAAATGTCAGCCCTTTTGCCCTGCCTCTCCCCCTACCCCCATGCAGACGGGGAGCTTTAAACACACTATAGCTTTTCAGTAAGTATTTTTATTACGTATGAATGAACAAACAAATGTCTTAATTTTCAAACCTAAGAAAATGGGATAAAAATAACATAGAAATAAAGCCAATGGGAAAAGGAAGTTGTTTTGTAGTGAAGAAGAGTGGACGCCATCAATACAATGAATTAATGCTGAATATGTACTAATTAGTGAGTGTGAAGGAACAGTTGAACGGGAAAGTCTAAATTTTCAGAAGGCAATTAGGGGCTGTGGGTCTGGAGCTCAACTGAGGTTTTGCAGGGCCAGAGATGCTGAGCAGTACGTCATCTGATGAAGGCTGATAGTTGAACATACATACAAAAGAGTTTTCTAAAGCAGAGCCCAGAGGGTCAGGGGCTATACTTTGGGGAAATATGTTAAGGGGTGATAAGAGAAGCTGGTGAAGAAGAGGTCTCTGAGCAGTAGGAAAGAGAGCACACAACAGTGAGGGCAGCTAGGAGATGAAACGTACCTTGTATCTCCTTTAATGACTGGCACCATGCCTTCCGCTTTATGGGTGGCCAATAAACATTACTTGAATTCATGGATTTTCAGAGGTCAGTATGATTTGAAGATAGATTTCAGAATATTAAGGCAACAACAACATATAAGGAAATATAGAGAATAGATGTAGATCTTGGGGTGGGCTTGGAAGGATGGGCAGAGATATGATTATGCAGAAGTTTTATTACCAAAAACAACAGATAACAAAGGAGGGTAGATTGGGTAGTTTTTGAAAGATGGTGGAGACCTGTGCATAGAGGTGGGTGATGAGATGCTTTTACCTGTAGACCACAAGGACAGAAATTAGGACTTACATACTGTCTTTTTCACTAATTATTTGATCTAAAACCTGTCATTTCATAAGATTATTAGTTATCTGAGACAAGAACTCTGTCTTAGAGTTTTCTTCTATCTCCTGCAGTTCTCAAAGACAGTTACACAATGTGAATTTCATAATTCAGAATTTGAATCAAAGTGATTGTACTTTAGCTGCTCATTCCTAGGGAGAAGAGAATGTTGTCATTTTACAACCATTAATAAATGGCAACTAAGAGCCATAGGTTGGGAAGTGAGTAAAGCATAATTTCATTTCTAGAATCCCACAGAGACCTATTAAGATACCTTGATGATCTGTTAGAATACCAAGAATAACACTAGACCCTCGGGAACCCCATACAGTTCCTCTAAGATGTAGTGCAACCTGTGCTGAGTTTTTGAGATGGTGTCATGAGAAGATGGTGATGTTATCAGACAAATGCCTAGATGCAGAGGAGGAAAGTAGACACTAACTCTACACAGAGGCAGAGTGACCACCAATGACAGTGCAGGTATTGAGTGAGAGTTAGATCCTATTTAGAAGCCTCCAGAAACTAGGAAACTAGTGAACACTACAGTCAGCACAAGAAAATGAGCTAATAATGGTATATGATCCGCGAATCTGCTTATCAGTTTTAATTACTTTCCGAGCTGTGGCATGTCTAAAATGATATTCAAGTCTGTCTAATGTTTTTTGTACTTGCCTCCTGTGATTAATATTCCCAAAATGGTTTAATTTAGGCAAACCTTCACAAAGATTTCAAATGAACTGGCAAACCAGGGCTAACATCTGCACAGTACGTCAATGGAGATATATTCAAAGGGCTATATGTGCTAATATCACAGGGACTTGCAAACTAAGTTTAAAGCCTGTCAAAATATTTGAAAATATTCACACGGTTGGGTAGCTAAACTCAGGTCCTACATGAATATAAGCTAAAGTTTAAAGTGTAAATGTCTCCATTGCAAATTTAATTCTCTCTTTTCCCAGACAATGTATTCTCTGGGAAAATAAATGTTTCTTATCAAGAGTGACAGATCCAATCTACCATTTATCTTCAACTTCTATAATTTTAGCCACCATCCTTTTTAAATTAGAGAATGATGCAGTTGAACAACTATCATTGGTTTTATCAACTCTAGAGGAAAATTTACTTGATTTTTCTCTAAGCACACCCTCTTCTCTTTGCTCCCCCTCACACTTACATGTCACTGGCAATGGAGGAGTTCCGGGACATAGACTTTGGTGAGAGGTCATAATCGCTGTCGGATCGATACAGAAAGGACTCCCGGCGTTGACTGTGGACAAAGTTTGCTTGGAGAATTAGCCCAGATCCCGGGCTGGTCATGGGATCCAAGGGACTCCGTCCAGAAGATGTGCCATTGTCCACATCGAAGCTATCAATTAAGGAGAAAGAATGACATTGCTGTGAATTGTATGTTAATAGTTTAGTAAAGGGAGACTTCAGTTTAGGAACTGACAGTAGGAAAACTTACAGCTGATTCCTGC